TACTTGAAACATTTGCCAAGAACAGACATATACTGGGCCATAAAACAAACCCAAACCTGACCTAACAACAGTACTCAGCAAGGAATGACCTTCCCTTGCCCCCCACTGTGAGACAAGGCCATATCTAAAGATATTTTTGGTTTTCATGACTAGTGTATGTGGGGGTATTGCTGGCTCCTAGTTGGTAGAAGTCAATCAGAACTGCTAAATATCTTACAATGCACAAGACAGCCTCCCACAGCAACTTTCCAATACAAAACCTGCTTTAGTGAGCCCCAGTCCCTAGCAGTTTTTATTCCTCTCACGTGGCTTGTCTTCATATGACACATGAGATATTTTGCTTATATGTTTTTGTCTGTCCTCCCCCAGCCCAGACCGTAAACTGCACACCTTTTGTTTGTTGCTGAATACCTAGCACCTAGAATGGTGCCTGCAGTAGGTAGGTGCTCATTCACTCACCCTGAGTAAATGAAAGAGTCTACTCTCCTGCCCAAGTCACACTTCACTACCCTGTTCCAGTGCCAGCCAGTCTTGCCTATTTCCTGTCCTACATAGTTCTTTATTTCCTGCCCTTGTCTGTATTTCCAATGCCGTTGCCCAAGTCAAGGCCCTTGTTTTCAGTATCCTTGTTTGGAATATTGAAATAGCTTTACTACAAGAGCCCAGCGTTATTAACACGCTCCCTCCCCTTTGTTCCAGAATATGAAACTTTAACTCCTATGGCACATGAGGCTGTCTCAGTCAGCCCCTGCCCTCTGTCTAGCCTCATCCCCTCACTACTCCTCCTTTGCGTGTATCAGGGTCCTTGAGTGCAAGCAACAGAAGACCTCATTGTCTATTGGGAACAGGAACAGCTTTATTGGAAGGAAATGGTTTGGGGGACAGACAGGCTGGAGGAGCAGAGGAATAAGAACAGGAAGCATCATAGATGTATCCTTTTTTCGAAGCAGAAAGAGTTGCTTCTGTCCCCACTGTTGTGGTGGAGTCCTGGACTGGGTGGTCATCACTCAGCCACTTTCATCTTAACCAGGCTCACTCCCCATGGGGGTGTGTGTGTATGTGAGATTTTTCTTGTGTCAGTATAGTGTTGGAGCACGAGGAGGGCAATCTCTGTGCTAGTTACTGGTTTATTGCCTATCTGCTCCAAATGCACTTTTTTTTGGCCCTACTTTGAGATTCTGGAGCTGCATCCTGAAGACATCTCCTCTGGCAGCTGGTGCAACATTAGGCTTTGTTGTGTGCTAGAGGTACACAGTGAGGCATAGGAGAAGGATGTCTCTGTTGTGTCCATTTTTTCTTCTACATTTCGGCTGTTGGCAGCGCATGGGAGGACTGGTGGCGCTCAGGCTTCAGTGGCTTTTCCTGGCATCCCAGCAGAAAGCTCTTTGTGACCCAGCTCCTGTGACCTAGTGGCCACGTCCTGTGCACTGACCGGCCGGCTCCAGCTCCCTGGCACTCCAGTGAACGCCCCCACCAGCCAGCAGGCTGCCATCACCTCTGCCCAGCAAGGTGGGATCTTAGCGCTTTCGAGATCTTAGTTCTTTTCTTGGGTACATTCTGAAGAGAAGGGAAGAGACAGGGAGGGGAGGAGGGAAGGAAAACACTGCTTTTCATTGGCTGTTCTTGATTTTCTAGAGTTCTTTTTAGTTTCCTTTTAGCATTATCTTGCTGAATTTTGTTACATTTTGAAATGACTGGTGTGGTTTCTGGGTCCTGGGTGAATTAAAAAAACACGCTAGTAAATACCCATTAGTAAATACTCACAAGGGTGATTTCCTCCATAAAGGAAGGGGGTTGGGGGTTATGCAGCTAGAAAAAGATACTCTCCCACATCTTCAAATGCCATAACTTTTATGTCTGCCCTAGGTGCGCATTCTGTGTCTCTGCACAGACTCTTGCCCCCACTGTGGACTCCCAGCATGCCCCACCCCTCTTCGTTTCATTCTTTGGCTCTGGCTCAAAGGGTACCCTCTCAGAGAGGCTTTCTGTGACCCCTCCACTCTTTCCCAGGAGACTCTTCTTTACTTCTGCTGTGCTCCTTCACAAAGCAACACTCATTTTGCTGTTGGCTTGTGTCTCAGCCCCACTCTGTAATCCCCCTGTAGACAGGCAACCTGTTCTTTTCAGCATATGGTAGGTACAGAGTGTATATTTATTGCACAGCATAATTCATTACTGAATTAGTAATTCATTTCTGTAGGCACTGGACAAAACTTATTTGTCTTGGGGCATTCACGGATGAAGTTACCCATGTGTATAACTGAACAGATTAGTATTGATAAACAGGCCAATTTAGTTCCCTTTCATTTCTAGGAGAAGCACATTTTCCTGCCAAGTCACTGAATGGCAAGTCATTTTATGATAATGAGTGAGAGGATTTGTCCCCTCAGAAAAGTGAGGGCCTGGGAGGGGCTGGCGTGTGAAGTAGACAGGGTGTTAAGGGTTGAATTGTGTCCCCCAAATGTACATGTTGAAGTCCTAATCCCCAGTACCAGAGATTGTGACCTTATTTGGAATAGGGTTGTAGCAGATGGAATTACTAGTGAAGACGAGGCCGTACTGGTAGGGTACGGATCCCAGGTAGGGAGCCCCTGATCCATGATGACTGGTATCCATATAAAAAGTGAAAATTGGACATAGACACCCAGACACACAAGGAGAATTCCATATGAAGACTGGAGTTATGCTGCCACAAACCAACCACCAGAAGCTGGAAGAGGGGGACCATCCCTAGCACCTTAGACGGAAGCCCTTGATTTTGGACGTCTAGCTGCCAGACTGTGAGACAGTACATTTCTGTTGTTTAAGCTGCTCAGTGTGTGCTCCTTTTTGACAGCAGCCCAAACAAACTGATACGGAGGGTGGGATTTGGATTTGTATAGGTCCCGACCATCTGGTTGGCTCCTTGAATTATTTCCTTCACAGTCTGTGAGGTGGTTCACTCTTCTTAATGAAAACAGTCCCTGAGTCCTGTGTTATTCTGTCCAGGCTTTGATAACTGGCACAGAGCAGCAGTTACAAGAGAAGTTAGAAATTTCCCATCTATTAAATGTTGGCAACAAAACATTTTAAAACAGGGCTGACCAAACAAAATGCCTCTGTGAGGCTGTGTCCAACCTCTGTGTTAATGGAATCAGGTTTTCAGGCTTTGTGAAAGAAGGAAGACCAAGGAGAGGCATTGGCTGACAGTAGTAAGAGCCCACACCTATTAAGCACCATGCTGAGGGCTTTACCAATGCCATCTCCTTTAATCTTCACCATAACTCATCCTGTTACAGACAAGGAAACTCAGGCATGGCGGGGCTCACTACCTTGCCCAAGGTCCCACTGCTAGCGAACGGTAGTGCCAAGACTCCAACCCAGGGCTGCCTGATTCCAGGGCACACACACCTTTCAATCCCATAGCCTTCAGTGCTGGGAGAAGCATCCAGGCTGGCTCTGAGACAAGGCTGCCAGGTTGGAAGGATTTGTTTGTTGCCAAGTGCAACACAGGAGCTTTGTCTCTAGTGGCTGGTAAGGAAAGGGGCTTCTGTGATACTGAGCAGAGGTGCAGAGCTAATGAGGCACTCGTGCTGAGGTTGGCCTGTGCAAGGACACTTCTCCAGTGTTCATTTGTCCCATGTATTTTTAGTGACTTGGCAGGAAAAGGTGCTGTTCCTAGAAACAAAAATGAACTAAATTGAGCTGTAAGAGCCATTCTAATCTGTAGTTTTAACTGATGATACTACTCTCCAACAAGGTGGGAGAGTCAAATAGCGAAAGTGACTGTGTAATGCCTGGCTGGCCTCATGGCCTAGTCCCACCTCAGCTGCTCCACCTCTTGGTCTGGGGTGATGACCGAGCGTGGGAGGCAGGCAGCGCGAGGTCAGCAGGGGAGCAGGGCCACAAAGGTGGGATTGGGTGTTACTGTTCAGAGTGGGGGATGTGGCTACTTGCTAGAAGGGATTTCCTGTCTCGGTTTAGGCTGCAGTTGAGATCACCCTGGGAAATTTGCTGTGTCCCAGGGATTGAAAAGGTACATTGCCCAGCTCCTGAGCTCCCCTTTTCTAGAAACCACCACCCCTCCTCATGTTCAGGCACCAAGTAGGAGCTATGTTTACAAGACATAACCCCACCCTCCATTACCACCCTGCATTGTACCTGATCAGCCAGGCCAATAAGAGACCACTGGGGTGTTTTGAGAGAGATAAGGAGACAAAATCATATGAACTCAGTTACATAGAAAACATGTCTCCAGAACAAGATGAGAGTGTCACAGAAGTGGGAATGAAAGTCTCCTGGCTTCTGGAGGCTCTTCCACGTTCCAGTCCTTTCTGAGCCCCGTTGCATCTTCCATCCGGATTACACAGTTCCCATTTTGCTTTACCTATTTGAGTTGGTGGCTATTACCAGTGACCAGAAGTGTTCCAGCTGTTGGAGGGGGGTTACTGTGGGTCCTTTTGGGCTTCAGTTGCCTCCTGCTTTCCAGAACCTGCTGCAGGCTGATGTTGGTTTGCTGTCTGGGTTTCCCTCTGCCCTGGTTGGGGTGGGAGAGGAGGAGGTTGTGATGAGGTCAGGGTTAGTGAGAGCTACTATTTCTAGACCCATTTTACAGATGGCAAAAGTGAGGCATAAAGCTACTTGCCCAAGGTTCACAGAGCCAACACTCAGCAGGGCTATACTTTGAGACAGTCTATGTCCTGAGTCAACCCAAGTACAGGAAGGTCGTGAAAAGAACGTCTGCATTCCAGAGACTGGAACAAGCAAGCAGGGCAGGTGTGGGCATATATTGCCTACTGATACCATTTGCTTCTAATGCGGTTAGGTCGGGGCTGAATATTAAGTCTTTTCTGCCCCCCAGCCGTAGATTCTGTCAGAACCTCAAAAGACTTTCCTTTTTCAAATCAGGTTGCTGTGACAGGCCCCAAATGATAGAACAACTCTCAAAAGACGTGAACAAGGCTTTGGGGTTTTCCTTGGCAGCCCTGATAACCTCACCTCCCAGAGACATTCAGCAGGTGCTAGAGAAGCCCCGGGAGAGTGTGGCAACTGCCCGGGCCTGGGGTGTAAGATTTACCACTCAGACTCATGGCATCCGCCGGGTCCAGGGTCGGCAGGAAGGTTGTGACTTCAATATTTGGCAAGATCTTGGTGCCCTCTAAGAAGTTTTCCAAATCACAGATGGTCAGGAAATTCAGAATCCTACTCATTTTCCCCAGAAGGATCTGGATTTTCTGAGCCGTTGAACCGAATTCCACCTCCAGGGTTGCTTGCTTCTTCATTTCATTCAGCATCTCCGGGAGTATGAACTGTGGGAATTCATGGGGAGCTCGGTGAGGATGTACACCCCAACACCGTGCCCCCCCACCCCAGGATTAGGCGCCCCTGGTCAGGACTTACCTGAGTCTTACCTGGACACTTCACTCTTCAGGGCAAATCTGCACTCCCGGCCCTGCCACCAGCAACCTTTCTGGGGCTTCCCAAGCACCCCTACTGGGCCTGTGCCAGTGGCCGCACCTCAGCCTGAACCCAAACCAAAGGTTACCAGCTCCTGAGCCCTGGTGTGGCCTGTCTTCCAAAGGTTGTGCGCTCCTGGGATACCTGGCTTCTCCACAAGGATTTCCTACCATAGAGGCACTGCCACAGCCAGCAGACTGTCCGAAGCATCTGCAGATGTACCCACTTCCACTTGGGCTCCCTTGGAGTCCGGGTTGTGTGGGATGAGGCAACACCCCAGAAAGGCTACCTCTCCTCCAGCTCTGCCTTAGTTGGTAGCTACAGAAGGCGGAGCAAAGGTCTTGCAGTGGGGGAAATAATAAGGGATCTATTTCTATGATGTATCCAGTTTATGAAATGCTTTCACATAAAGCATCTATTGAAGCCTTACAAAAATGTTGTCATTTTATAAATGACAACAGGCTCAGAAACAGAGAGAGGCCTGTCTGTTGTCACACAGGGAGAGGAGGGGCTGGCATGTTCTCAGGGCATCGCTGCCTGGCCTGGGAAGGCCCTGCTGATGAGTTACATTTGTTTCATTTGGGGCCCACCCGCCACTGGCAGCAGACTGAGCATGTCAGTCATTCATCCCCCTTTTGGGCATCAATTTCCTTTGCTGATCCTACTCCTTCAGTGGAATCCCACTGTTTTTTGAAGCCCAGTGGCCCAGGTCCTTATGAACTCTCCACTCTAGCTGCCCCCTCTTAGCTTGTCACCACTGTGCAGGGGCAAATGGAAAACCTGGTGTAGATTGGAAGTATTCGTCGTCTCTTTCCTGGGTTCGCTACTCTGGGAGACTCAGGGTAGGTAAGAAGGTTGTGACTTCATTATTTAGCTTATAAATTAGCAGGCCTTCCCAGGCGAGGGAACGTAGGGTGACCAGCTGTCCGGATATGCTTGGCACTGTCCCTGATTTAGCTCTCACAGTCTCATGTCCTGGAAAACCTCTTAGTCCTGGGAAAACTGGGTTGGCAGGTCACACTACACCTCCCACATTCCCTCTTCGCATTTCAAAAAGTATTCATAGAACTTAATTTTGCCTCAGTCTGCTGTTTGGCTGTTTCTTCCATCAACCTGCTTCTCTCTCTGGCTCACTTCCTGAGAGACATGTCCATCTGTCTGTCTCCCAGGCAGTCCTGGTTTTGGGGGCTTTGATCGCCTCTCTGGTAGGTCTATAAACAGCCTTCTGTGGAATGGAGAAGGGGAGCTGGCACAGAAACAGGGTCTTAGTGGATCTCAATGGGTGGCTAAGAAGATAGTTGGGATGAGGGGTGTGTGGACACACAGGTTCAGATCCCAGCAGTTCCAGGCCTTCTGGGGTTTGCCTTATTCCCCTCCTTGAGTTTGGTTCTCAGGAAGGGTCTCTGTAGCCCACCTTCTTGCCCTGTAACAGTGACTACTCTAGGGTCTGGATTTGCCATTTGTAGTGGGTTGAATTGTGGGTCCCAAAAGACGTGCCCAAGTCTTAATACCCAGTTACCTGTGAACGTAACCATATTTGGGAATAGACTCTGCGGATATAATTAAAAATTTTGTATAAGGACTTAGGGTGGCCCCTAAACCCAATTTCCAGCGTCCTTATCAGAGAAAGGAGAAAGAGCTTTGATACAGAGAGTCACAGAGGAGACGGCTGTGTGAAGGCAGAGGCAGAGGTTGGACTGAGGCTGCCACTGGCCAAAGAATGCCTGGAGCCACCAGCAGCTGGGAGAGACAAGGAAGGGCTCTCCGTTAGAGCCTTGGAAAGGAGCATGGTCCTGCCGACACTTCGGCTTTAAATTTCTAGCCTCCAGAATTGTGAGAGAATAAATTTATGTTGTTTTAAGCCCCCAATTTGTGGTAATGTGTTACAGCAGCCTGAAGAAACTAACACTCTTTTGTGACATCTTGCCTGGCCTAGGCAGAGGGCCTTGAACTTCCAGGTGGTCATTTGTTTTGAGATGAGCATGTTTGAGGAGGGGAGAAGAAGACACCAACAGCCGGGTTTGAGATACAGATTTCCCCTTTGTTTCTGACCCTGCCATTTGACACGGCTGTAGTGAGTGTCAGGCAAGATAATGCCTGTCGGTATCTTTTTTTGGTCCGGGGGGGTGGGTGGATCTGGCTTACAGTTAAGCAACTTGAGGCTGTCAGTTTCCTCAGAGCAAACTGTCATGGTGTTGGGAAGTGAAATGAATGCCTCTGTGTGTGTTAAGCACCAGGTTAATGGAGGCGGCCTTCTTTTTCTATGGGTTGGAGTCATGCAGAATATGGCCCGGGGGCTCGAGCCAGCCGTGGCCTGTGTGCTGGTGGGCAGAGCTGTGGGGAGCTGAGATCTTACCTTATACTTGGTGCCCAGGTTTAAGCAAATGTGCTTTGTTTGGTGGATGAAGTGGAAGATGATCTTATCTTGGCTCCTGATTTGTACCTTGATGTACTGGTTGATATTTAAGGAGATAGGCTGGACAGGGGGCGCGTGGACGTGGAGGTTCAGATTCCACCAGTTCCAGGCCTTCTGGGCTTTGCCTTTGGCAAAGTGATAGCCCAGGTTTTGGCTCAGGCTCAACCTAGATCAAGAAGTCCCATCAGGTAGCCAGGGCACCTGGTCCTGGGACAGGGGTCACAGCCCCTCCTGTGGCAACGCAGGCCTGCTCCCTCCCTCTCCCTTTCTTGGTTCAACCTTTGCCCACAGACAGGCCACAGGCTCCCAAAGGTCTAGGCAGACGGAAGACATTCCGACCAGGAAGGCGAGCCCAAGACTAGGTGCAGCCCTTCAGCACCCCTCTCCCTGCCCCCCCCACCCATGTGGGACTTGTGCCCAGCCCCTCACTCCCACTCTCTCCTTTCAGTCCCAAAGGCCTGTGCTTATCACCTCCTCAGGGGTTTTGCCATATTGCATCCTCTTCCTGGAATGGACCTCCCACCCTGGTGACATGGCTGGCTCCTGCTTACCCTTCAGGTCTCAGCTCAAGTATCACCGCTCAGAGAGGCCCTGTCCTGACCAGCCCTTCTGGTTCTCTGCATCGCTCTCAGTCTTCTCCCCTTGTTAGTTTCCTCCATGTAATTTACTAACACATGCAGTTGATTCTTGTTATTTGTGGTATGTAGTTAGGGTATATAAAAGGCCTTGAACACTTAGTGAATACTGAACCCATTGTTCCTAGGAGTAATATATACATATTAGATATATATCTATATCTATATCACATAGATAATCTTAAATCCTAAAAGATTTATGGAAGATTCCACCTGGCTCGAGAGCTGAAGCTTCCTGCGCTACAGCGCCCTGCCTTCCTGTCTCCTCTCTTCGGGAGGCAGAGTCACCTCGTTCAGCTTCAGCTAGAAATGTGTGCATGAGATGACTCCAGTTTTTCATGCCCTACTCATGTTTGTGACTCTGTGTGAAATACACACATACACACTTCCCCCGGGAGCAAAGTGTTCAGTGTTCATGGAAACTTTATAGTCCAGAACTATCTTGAGTAATGAGAATCAACTGTCCTTGTTTATCGTCTGTTTTTCCTCACCAAAATGTAAATGTAAAATGTGGTCCTGGAGGGCAGGGGCCACACCCTTCTGGTTGCCCGATGAGTTCCCACTGCCCAGCACTGTGCCCAGCACCCACATAAATAAATAGGTGCTGGATGAATGAGGGGCGGATGACCTTCTCCCTCACGCAGCCCAGGCCCTCCTCATCTATGAGCCATCCTTTCTTGGCCTTTTAAACCCATCGTATGCCTCTGTCTCTGGCTTCTGCTTCTCGAATCCCGCCAGGGCCGTCCCTGGAATCTGTGCTATTGGGGGAGCAACTTCTCTCAAGGACTGAATGCAGGGGGAAGAGATTCTGAGACCTGGGTTAATCAGAAGGATGTAGCGTTTGGGGGAGCCTGGGTTACTCAGACTACCTGCCAGGGTCCCCTCTGGGCTGTCCAGGGCCCTTGTGGGTCGGCTTAGAGAGGGAGGCCAGCTAAGTGCAGCCTTGTTCGCCTCCAACAGGAGAACTCCTAGTCACTCCCAATCTTCGATTCTCCTGGTGCTTCCCATTGCTCATTGAAGTGCAGAGGTCCTAAATCCCTCACCATCAGGCCCCAGCCTGGCCAACCTCATTTCTCTTTACTTAGCCAAGAGGCTGTATACATGTGAAGAATTAAAAATGTGGGCGCTGGAGCCAGAATCTCCACATTCAAAGCCTGGATCTGTCACTTGCAAACTGTGTAATCTTGGGCCAGTTACTTAACTTCTTTATGCCTCAATTTCAACTGCCAAATGCAGATAATAATAGCACTTTACTCAGAGGGTTGTTGTGACAATTACTTGCTTATACATAGCAATAACTCAGTCAGCATTATAATGTCCTTATTATCTTTGATGGAGAGGGCAGAGAGGGGAGTTTTCTTTTGGCCCTTGAGGGAGCAGATCCTCAGCTTTAACCCTTTTGATGGCTCCTATCAGTTTTCTCACTAGGCTTTCCCTGCTCCCTGGGGTTAGAGGTCTGCCCCTGCCTGGGGACACCCAGCTCTGGGCTAAGGCTTCCTCAGGAAAATGGGGTCCAGAACACCCAGAGCCATCTGAATCTGGAGGTTCCTCTCAGGGGATATAAAGACCCCTCCAAAGGACCCTGACTTCAGGCAGCTCTGGAGCCCCTCGCTGGAGGACCCTGAAGCCTGGCGGGAGGCCCGGTCTGAGATTTCTCAAGTTCTGAGCCTGGAGGTTGGGGTTGATGCTGAGGTTTAGTTTCCACACACCCAGCAAACTACAAGTATGCCATCTACCTTTCCTGAGGAGACAGAAATGAAAAATGTCCCAAGAAATATTAAGTTCTTACAACACTGTGGCTCTAAATCCTGCCCAGGGCCTGCAGTGCAGTGCGGGGGGATCTTCCTCTGTCAGCGTCAGCACTGAGGGTGCAGAGATGGGGCTGGAGCCTGGGGCGCAGCTGAGGACGTTTCTAGCAGTGACTAGGGTCAGTGGACCCTGGCTGAGCAGGAGGGTCCTTGCCATACAATTGTTCTCCCCATGACCGTGGGACTGCAGTTTTAATGACGAATTTCCTTGGGGGCCTTTCCGCTATGGGATCACATTTTGCTCTGGTGCCTCTGCCCCTGTGGAGGGAAACAGCTTGGCCCATTCTGCCCCGTAGTATGACCTTTTGGGGGTGATAGGTGTGTGTGGGGGATATATAAGGACGGTCCTTCTCTCATCCAGGTCTCTGATGCCTGAAATGCCTGCTGCTTTGCTTTGGGTTAAGCCGCACTAGAGCATGACCCAGATAAGATGCAGTTGCTCTCGGAGGAGACAGGACACAAAGGTTGAGCACCTGTGTACAGCAGTGTGGAGAGACTGCTGAGAGGAGGCGAGCGGTGCACCAGGCCTGTGTGTAGAGCGGCCGGGACCTGCTGAGGGGAATAACGGGTGGGAGCTCTGCCCTTTCCCTACTGCCTGCTCCTCCAGCACCAAAAAGGAAGGGCAAGAAAAATGACAGTGATGCTAGTGTGTGTGTGTGGGGCGGAGAGGGAGCAAGGAAAGAAAGGCAGGGGCTGCCTATGGGTGGGCAGAGGAGCCAGGCCAGGTTGGGGAAGAGTGGAGGCCCCTTGTGATGTCCTGGGCCTTGGCCTTGGCCCCACTGGCAGGATGCTGGGCAGCCTTTTGCAGAGAGTCACAAGGCCCACTCTGAGCCTAAGTGATCAGCTTTCCCTGACAGCCTCCTGTTTTCTCTAGCGGACAGGGAGCTCAGTGTTAGAAGGGGTAGCAGCCAATTTATCCCCCCTTCTTGAGAAACCATAAATGGCAAAGTGGTTAGCAGTTTCAGAAAAACTTCAAGACAGGAAGACAGCAGGTCCCAAGGAGAGAGATGGGAGATGAGAAGTTTGAGGCTCATGGACTCTGAAATGGCTATGAGGCTATGCCTGGAAGCAAGGCTATTCTGGGGAAGAGAGACTGAACCACTGGTCACTGCTGTCCCTCAGGAGAGGACATTGGGTCAATTTCTTCATGAGGTTGAGGCTGTCCTGGAGTCCCAGCAACCGTCTGAGGTGTCAGCACAGTAGCCATCCACTCCTGACCTGAGGGGAGTCCTGGACGTGGCTCCTGCTGATTTTGAGGAGGAGATGGAAGTATTTCGTTCAGGGTCCCCATCTTTGCCTTACAGTCCTCCGGGCATCCACCAAGCCTGGCAGATGGGGGGCAGTGGTGGGCCATTGCAGCCAGCCCAAGCACCTTGGCTGCTTTCTGAAGCCTTGGAGGCCCAGTGGAGGGCATGCTGGCCTGGGTCCCACACCAGCTGACCTGGTGAAGACCTCCAGCCCCAAGCCAGCCTGACAGAATCAGAACCTGGAGGATGGGGGTTGGCCTTTTTCCAGCTCTGAGCACCATCCTTCCCCTTGGGTTTGGATGGCCTGAGATTCAGGGATAAGATGTGGTTTCTCTTATGAACCTTATTTCATAATTTAAAAAAATGCTTAATTTTAGCTGAGTCAAAATGCCATAAAACTTCTTGCCTGTAAAATATGGCTCATGGCAAATGACTTATTAGCTTTTCTGAGCCTCAGTTTTCTCATCAAGAAAATGATAGTAGACTTCCCCAAGGTCTCTTTTGGCCCTAAAAATGTGTCATTTAGGAGAAGAGACACACCCAAATGTAGTCAGATGCCATTCAGGATCATTAACTGAGTCTCTTGTCTCTACTAATTGGTGCTTCTTCTTCTTCTTCTTTTTAAAGGTTTTATTTATTTGTTTTAGAGAGGGAAAAGGGAGGGATAAAGGAAGGGAGAGAAATATCAATGTGTGGTTGCCTCTCAAGTGCTCCCCACTGGGGACCTGGCCTGCAACCCAGACACGTGCCCTGTCTGGGGGTCAAACCGATGAGCCTTTGGTTCGCAGGCCGGCACTCAGTCCCCTGAGCCACACCAGCCAGGGCTACTTGGTGCTTCTTGTATCCAGTATCTTTTTCTACCTTTCAGATATCAGTTTTTATACAAAGGGGCCTCTGGAGAAGGCAGACACCTCTGAGAACAAAGTAGTCAGGTAGGAAAAGGTGTTGAAAAAACCCATAGCAGAGAAAATATTCTTTGGTTTGCAGGTTGGTGCTCAATCCACTGAGCCATACAAGCCAGGGCTAGAGAAAATATTCTTAAAAACTGAGGGCTGGAGAGTAAAAATCCTTTTAAAAAAATAAATAAATAAAAAGAAAACAGTTTGGCTTTGACTATCAGTAAGAAAGAAAGTATACATTGATCCAAGATAACGTGCACTTCCCACTACAGGTCAACCTGGAATGCAAGGGGAACAGGGAATCCTGGAGACAGAGTATTTACCCCAGAGAGAGCGGGGAAAATTCTGAAGCGGCTGAATTACCTTAAATTGGTAAGATGAAGTTTTCCACCATTACCAGAAATGGGAACTTAAGAACTAAGTTTAGTTACAATGAAATATTTAGAAGTTACAGTTTTGAATACAATACATGCACCTCCAGAGCGCTCACCACACCCTCCTCTCTGAGGCCCCCAGAACAGAGGGGCCCTGTGTCTTTCTAGGATAATTCTCATGAGACGTAGAGCAGACAAAGCCAATGGAAGTGGCTGCACTGAGTCTGTCACTGCTATTTCACCATGGGGAAAGCAGCAGTGGGACAAGGACAGTGCACTGTCCTTGTCTGAGGCCAGGGACCTGTCTTACTGGTCCATCATGATATCCATCTCCCCATTTCAATATGTGAGTCAGATGATTAAATTCACAAACAAATGAGGGGGGGCAGAGAGAGAGAGAGAGAGAGAGAGAGAGAGAGAGAGAGAATGAGAATGAATGAGAAAATGAGAATCGAGCCTGAACCATACTGCTTCCCCACGGTAAAAAGTGTTTGGGACTCATTGTTCAAGCTTACCAGATTTCTCTGTTTTCATCATAGAAGGTGGCATGGCCAGAGCTGTTGATAAGGGCCCGAATACACGTTTCTTCACTGTCTTCCAGAATGATATATGTGAACTTGCTCTCTTTCGTACTGAGGATGAGCATAGCCAGGTTTCCTGATGGATAACTGGAAGACGGTTAAGGCACAAGCACTCCTTTGGGATCCTTTTGAAAAAGCACAGCCCTACTGAGGGTACAGGCTTTAGTAGAACCCATGCCCCAGCCCCGAATCACAGAATTTTTAGGTGCCTTATGTGTTAATATAAGTGTCCTGTGCTCCAGTGGATACTGTATCTGGCCTGATCCATCGGGAAAGAGAATTTGGAAGATACTCTCAATGGGGTAGAGAATTAATTTTACATCATCATCTGGAGGCACCTGGGAAGAAAAGACATGCCTGTGAAAAGTGTGCAGGGGATGATTGTCCTAATTTAGAGCATGGGGTTGTCACTAGTGCCTGGGACCTATCTACTTACTTTGGATGCCCATCTCACCTATCACCACCCCACCCGTCATTACCTCCAACCTGTTAGGGAATCGGTACAAGAAACCCACAGGGCCTTACTTTACTTGTCCATGTGACGAGGAAACTGAAATGGATCATTCTCTGTGTGTGTGTGCATGTGCGCATGCAAATTTCAAACTACCATTTTAATCACTCTAGTGGTTATTGGTTGTATTTGCTTCCTAGTCCTTCTACAACAAAGTGCTACAAACTGGGAAGTTTAAAAATACAGGACTTTATTCTCCCATAGTTGTGGAGGCCAGGAGTCCAAAATAAAGGGGTCAGCAAGGTTGAGGGAGAATAAAGGCTCTGAGGGAGAATTTCTCCTAGCCTCTCTCCTAGTCTCTGGCGACGGCTGGAGATCCTTCTTTTCCTTGACTTGCACGCATCCTTTCCAATCTCTGCCTCCATCTTCATGTGGCCTTCTCCTTATGTGTCTCTGTGTATTCAGGTGGCTGTTTTCTTGTAAGGACACCTGTAATATTGGATTAGGGGCCTACCCTACTCTGGTATGACCTCATTTTAAGAAATTACATCCTCAGAGACCAATTTTCCAAATAAGGTGATAATCCAAGGCACTGGGGGTTAGGATTTAAACAAATCTTTTTTAGAAGAATTATCAGGGTTTTTATTGTTTCTTGAATTGGTTTGAGTGAATAATGTATTTCTTGGAAATTGCTCATTTTATGTAAATGTTCAAATGTATTATTATAAACATTTTAAATATTATGTTTTAAAAAACTACTGCTGAACAGCAAAAAGACTTCTGGTCAAGATAGAGGCATAGGTAGACACACTTTGCCTCTTTGTACAACCAAAATAAGGACAACAACAGATTTAAAAATAAAAAATAACCAGAAGTGCCAGAAAATCAAACTGTATGGCAGTCCAACAACCAAGAAGATAAAGAAGAAACATTCATCCAGACCTGTAGGAGGAGCATAGACAGACAGCTGTGGCAGAGAGGATGCACAGCAAGGTGGCAGCTGGCAGACTGGGTGGTCCCACATTGTCATGTGGATAAACTGGGAGGAACAGCTGAGGCAAGGGACAGACCGCGCACCCCAGGGTTCCAGTGCAGGAAAAGAAAGCCTCAAAATCTCTGGAGGTAAAAATCTGTCGGGGTTGCAGCATCAGGAGAAACTCCCAGCCTCATAGGAGAGTCTATTGGAAAGACCCGTGGGATCCTGCAATGCACACCAAACCACCCACCCAGGAATCAGCACTAGAAGGGTCCAATTTGCTTGTGGGTAGTGGGAGAAGTGACTGAAAGCCTGCTAAAGGCCGAGCAAGAGGCATTGTTCACTCTTGGACCCCTCCCTGACAAACAACATGTGTCCTGAGTTGCCCCACTCTGGCGAATACCTAAGGCTCTACCCCTTCCAATGTAACAGGTGCACTGAGACAAAGAAATATGGCTCAAACAAAAGAACAGATCAAAGCTCCAAAAATAGAACTAAGTGATGAATAGATAGCCAACCTGTCAGATACTCAGTTCAAAGCACTGGTAATCTGGATGCTCACTGAATTGGTTGAGTATGGTCACAAAATGGAGGGAAAAGGAAAGGCTATGCAAAGTGAAATAAAGAAAAATATACAGGGAACCAACAGTGAAACGAAGGAAACTGGGACTCAAATCAACAATTGGGAGGAGAAGGAAGAGAGAAACATTCAACCAGAACAGAATGAAGAAACAATAATTCTAAAAATGAGAAGAGGCTTAGGAACCTCTGGGACAACTTTAAACGTTCCAACATCCAAATCACAGGGTGCCAGAAGGAGAAGAAGAAGAGCAAGAAATTGAAAATTTATTTGAAAAAATAATGAAGGAGAACTTCCCCAGTCTGGCAAAGGAAATAGGTTTCCAGGAGATCCAGGAAGCTCAGAGAGTCCCAAAGAAGTTGGACTCCCAAAGGAAGTACACATCAATGCACATCATAATTATGTTACCCAAAATTAAAGATAAGGAGAGAATCCTAAAAGTAGCAAGAGAAAAGGAGACAGTTACCTACAAAGGAGTTCCCATACGACTATCAGCTGATTTCTCAAAAGAAACTTTGCAGGCAAGAAGGGGCTGGCAAGAAGTTTTCAAAGTCATGAAAGACAAGGACCTACATCCAAGATTACTCTATCCAGCAAAACTATCATTTAGAATGGAAGGGCAGATAAAGTGCTTCCCAGATAAGGTCAAGTTAAAGGGGTTCATCATCCCCAAACCCTTATTATATGAAATGTTAAGGGACTTATCTAAGAAAAAGAAGAGGATCAAAAACTATGAACAATAAAATGACAACAAACTCACAACTATCAACAACGGAACCTAAAAAAACAAAAACAAACTAAGCAAACAACTAGAACAGGAACAGAATCATAGAAATGGAGATCAAAGGGGTGGAGGAGGGGTAAGAATGGGGGAAAAGGTACAGGGAATAATCTTCATAAATAGTAGGTACAAAATAGGCAGGGGGAGGTTAAGAACAATATAGGAAATGGAGAAGCCAAAGAACTTATATGTATGGCCCATGGGCATGCTAAAATAAATAACAAAATAAATAATAAACCTCTACTGCTTCTGTAGCTATGTCTTTCTTCATTCTTTATATTATTCATACCTTCTCTCTTTTTTTTTCCCCTGAGTCAGCCTTGCCTGAAGATTTGCCCATTTTACTGGCCTTTTCAGAGGATCCGTTTTGGTTTGTTTATTCTATTATTTGTTTGGTTTCTGTTGCATCGATTTCTGCTCTTATCTTTATCATTTATATACTTCTAGTTTCTGTGGGTTTTCTATTTTACAGTAGTTTATTTTTCTAATTCCTCAAATTGAATGTTGAGCTCATTGATTTTTATTTTTCTTCTTCTTGGTCTTCCTCCACCTTCTCCTCTTTCTTCTTTAATGTAAACATTTAAAGCTATAACAGTATTTCTCTCAAAACACTGTTTTAGCTGCTTTCCATGAGTGTAGATATTTACCTTTCATTACATTCTAAGTAGTTTCTGGTTTCCCATATGATTTCTTCTTTGACACACACGTTATTTACAAGCATGTTTTTAAAGTTACAACATACCAGTTGCTTTTGTTTCTGTTATTATTATTACTAATTAAAATGCATTGGGGTAAGAGACAGTCTATTATCAGCCTTCAGTGTTTGCTGAGATTCATTTTGTGGCTTAGTGTGTGATCAATTGGTGTAGCTATTTCAAGTGCGCTTGAAAAAGATGCACGTCCTCCAATTGTCTCATGTTCCCATCCTGTGTAAAACCCAAGCTCCTGTGTTATCAGGACAAACTGTTTGCCTCCTCCTACCCCTCCGTTTCCCATCAGATACCACCACCTCACCCACATTCATTCACACTCTCACTCTGCTGCCTTTTTTAGTGTCGGTTTCTGGTATTATTTTCTTTACTGTCTTACACATGCTGCTCTGCAAATGTAAAAAGGAACATATTTTACATTTCATCTAAATTTCCTAGATGTTTAGAGATGGCTTTTTAGATCATATAGGATTCCACATTACTTTAACTGGAAGTCAGAGTAGTGATTTTCAAACTATCGTTTTAAACAGTTGAAGAGTCCTTTGTTCAAGAAAGCTTGCAGCAGGGTGCCAACACCCAAGACAATAAAAGGAAGAAATGCAGCTGTCTGAGGAGTCGCTGTGGCTTTCTCTCTAGGTCATGGCCTTTTCTTTTTTTTATTTATTGATTTTTCTTTTTCTTTTTTTAGAGTGAGAGAGTAAGGGAGGGAGGTGGCGGGGAGAGAGAGAAACACGATTTGTTGTTCCACTATTTTATACATTTGATTCTTGTGTGCGCCGTGACCAGAGATCGAACGCGCAACCTTGGCTATCAGGACGACATTCTAACCAACTGAATTACCCTGCCAGGGTGGGCACAGCCTTTAAATGTCCAGGAACCTGGCATCTGGATGAAAACCGCTATGGGATGTGAGAAGATCCTGTAGCTGACCCTATCCCCATACCTAGCACTGCACTGAACACCATACTGCCACAACACAGTGACCCTACAAAATAGGCACTATCATTGTCCCCATTTAACAAAGGCTGAAGGGTGTACACAGAGTTACCAGTGAGAGGAGAGCTAGACTCCTGCAATCCGCCCCCTCCCCAACCTGCAGGCTTGTCAGTGGAAACCTGCTGCCTCGCACTGTTAAGCTCCCAGCCACCTCACACATTTAGTTTACAAATCACTGCTCTTCTTTTTTTAACCTAAAAAAAGTGCCTTGTAAGAGCGTCTGTGGTTGGTTTGTTCCTGATGGCCAGTTAAAATCTTCTAGACATTGCTCTTGGAAGAGGATATTTGTATTTTCAGTCTTATTTTCAAAAGCCTCCTGAAAGTGAGACTTTCTCAAGAGGTTTTGCTTGTCAAATTCACTTGTCATGTAATGACATTTTCCTACTGATGTGGACCCCATGGGTAAAGCAAAATCTCTGACACAGAGGTGAAGTCATTACGTGTTTCTCTCACTGGGGAATGACAGTCATGTGCCACATAATGACAGTCTCACATTCTGTGAAATGGCATCTTTGGGTCATTGTGGAAACACCTCAGAGTGCATGTACACAACCCTGGAGGGTACAACCCACTGCTATGCTGTATGTGCTGTGCTTTTATATGACTGGCAGTGCAATAGGTATGTTCACACCAGCATCACCACACACATATGGCATATGTGTGTCCATGATGTCTAATAAATGGCATATCTAAAAGCCTAAATCTCATTACCATTTTCTTGGGAACAGAATAAGAGGTTAAGATCTAAGAGCTAAGAGAGAAGGGGCTATATGTTTCACCCTTCCTTCAGTTCTACTAGGGAAAATACAGTGCCTCACTGGCAGGACCCTGCAC